AGACATTATGAACGCAACAATCTTGATATCAGGTTTATTACTGTGCTATTGTATCTTTTAGACCCTTTTATTTGCCGAGAGAATTCGGCCAAATAACTATTATTCTGACTTACGTTCCTGGTCCGAATATGGAAATAGCTGCTGAAAGATTAGCAGAGAGCTATAATTGCGCTCTCTTACCGAATAGTCGGTTTTTATTTTTAGGAGATTTTAACATGTGTAGTTTGTCTGATTATTTATCCTCTTTGCAGCAATATGTAACTTGCCCAACTTGATCCACCCGCACCTTGGACTGTTGCTATGGAAATGTTAACGACGCATATAAAACCTTGTGTCGGCCGCCTTTGGGACAATCGGACCATAACGTTATACATCTGCTGTCTAAATATAGAAGCAAACTTAAGCAGCAAGCAGTGGTCAATAAGGACATTCAGGTATGGACGAATAATTTTGTTGAGCAGCTCCAAGACTGTTTTGATGACACGGATTGGGACTTGTTTTTTAAAACTGGAAACGATTTGAATGAAATAACAAAACACAATCTCATCTTATATACAGTTTTGTGAGAAAAACGTGATTGGGACCAAAACGGTCAGAATTTTTCCTAATAATAAGACATGGGTTTCTAAAGACTTGAAAAGGTGTCTGAATGATAAAAAGAGAGTTTTTTGTAGTGGTGATTTTATTACTTTTAGAGAGTGTAATAGTGCACTGGTATTAAATATAAATAAAACCAAGGAATTAGTTATCAGTCGTACTAGGCAAGATGTTGCAGTTGTGCCTGTAATGCTAGAGAGTCACCCGGTTGAGATTGTTGATCATTTGAAATATCTTGGCACATATATAGACAGTAAACTGAGTTTTGTGGATAACACTAATAATATATTTTTTTAAATGCATGCAACGTCTATTCCTAATACGGAGAATCAGTAGGTTTGGAGTAAGTCAAAACATATTGGAGATTGCCTACAAATCATTGGTAGAGAGTGTGCTGACCTATAATTTAACTTCATGGTATGGGCATCTTAATTGCAAGCAGAAAAATAATCTGGCAAGAGTCACTAATATAGCTAGTAAAATCATTAGCAGACCACAGAGTAAGTTGGGTGAGGTTTACACCTCAAGATGTGTTGGGAAAGTGGAGTGTATATGAAAAGACCCAACTCATCCTCTGTGTGATCATTTTGTTTTATTGCCTAGAGCAAAGATAAATATTTATAAAAGGTCTTTTGTACCTGCTGCGATCGGAATTTTTAATCAAAAAGCTGTGTGATTCAGTATGATGGTTTTTATGCGTTTTGTATTATGTGTCTGTATGTGTATTTGGTTTTCGCTGGTGTGGTCAAAGACAAATTTCAACCATGGTCGACAATAAAGATGTATTGTATTGTATTGTATTTGTAGTCCGTAAAGAATAAAGTATGCATGCAATATTTATTGTACATAAAATGGAGATGCCTGGTAACTTTATGCACGCCTGGCATTAAAAAAAAGCAATACATCTTACTGACCCTAACTTTTGAATGGTACTGTATCTACCCTCTTTACAAACACAGTAATCAGTAATTACAGTAATTCGATTATTACCCAAGTAATCAGATGATTTTTGGCTTGATTGGATGGTAAAAATAATCTATTTTTTCTTTGCATTAATATGCACTAATTAATTATTCACAATAAGACCAGGAATGTGCATTAAGAAAGTTAACAGAGTCGATACTAATTTCATGCTGACTTTAAAGCATATACTTTTAGACATTATGGATGCATAACCTTGATATCAGGGTCAATAGTGTGCTAATGTACTTGTACGCACTAAAATTATCTTAGAATGAAGAATGCAATGCATTCAATAGTTACTGTAAATATAATAAAGATGCTCAACGCTGCCTGGTAACGTTATGCACAACTCTCTCTTTGCTGGCAACAACACACAACACACCACACACACACAACACCCCACTATATATATATACATATGCACACACACACACACAAACACAACACAACACAACACAACACAACACAACACAACACAACACAACACAACACAACACAACACAACACAACACAACACAACACAACACAACACAACACAAACAAAAACAAATAAAATAAATCTTACTGACCTTAACTTTGGGCAGTGCATCTAATCCTACTTATAAAAGCTTGAATTTTCTGTAAAGCTGCTTTGCAACGATTTGTATCGTGAAAAGTGCTATACAAACAAACTTGAATTGAATTGAATAAACAACAGTAATCACTAAATGCTTACATAATAACCTAAGTGATCAGACCTTAATTAGATGGAGAAAAGTGTGTCTTTTTTCTTTGGAATAACATGCACTAATGAATCATTCACAATAAGACCAAGAATGTGCATTAGGAATGTAAATAAAGACACTTTTAAATTCATGCTGCCTTTAAAATAATAATATATAGAAGTAAATGCTTTAGACATTATAGATGCAACAACCTAGATATCAGGTTCATTACTGTGCTAAACTCGCTAAAACGCTCTAAGAATGAAGTTTACATTTGTATGGTAGTGTATCTATCTGCAATTATAAACAATAATAATAACTAACTGCTTTAATACTTATGACCTATGATTTTTGCCTTGACTGGAGGGTAAAAACTTTTTTTTCTTCTTTGGATTGATGTGCACTTGTGACGAATGATTTACATGAAGACCAGGAATGTGCTTTAAGAAAGTAAATAGAGCATATCCTTGCATATAATTTAGATATTATGGATGAAACAACCTTGAAATCAGGTTCAATACTGTGCTAATGTAATTGTACATGTTATAATGCTCCAAGACTGAACAGTAGTCAGTAACTACGCAAATCTTTCTTTTTTGTGGCATTAAAATGACTGAAATCCACCTAAATAAATACTTGCTTAAAGTTACCAGTCACTGCTGAGCATCGTTATTTTATTTACTCGTTGTTTTATTCTCATTCGGCATTTAGAGAGTTGTATATATCCACAGGGAGCGTTTAAAACACACTCCAAAAAATAATCTGCAGCATTATGATGACTTCTAAGATGCCCGTTCAGTCAAAATCTAACAAAAACATCACAAATATCCTCCAAGGAGAATGCAATCCCAGAATGCATTGCAACAAGCTGAAATCAACGACGATGAAGTGAGAGAAATGTTAACTGTAGCTCTTATCTATATTCTAGGTGTTGTTAGTCTATTATTTACATGTGGCTTCTTTTAGGCTCATTAGTCATCAAATCCTCTCTAACTCCACAGATGTTATGAAGGTTGCAGGTACAGATGTGCAGCTTTTCATCTCACTGAGCACCAGAAGAGCTCACAGATCAGTGTTTCAAATCATCTCAAGTTTATTTCAGTTCTGACGTGACCAGGCAGCTGTCTATGCAAGGCAACTCGCTGCGTTTCCAAACAGAGCCATAAAAAATAAGAGCGAATCAATGACGAACAGCAAGAGCACCTTGCCGCTGCTCCCGATCGGCCCGACGGCAGCCTTGAGGCGTGGACTGACTGAAGACATCATGTGATCGCAGTACATGTCATGCTTAGGAGCGTGAAACTGCAGGCAAGATGGATGGTGGGCTATAAATTAGGAGTCAGAGGGGTGCAGTGGGCGGTCGTTCTCTCTCACAGACCTCCACGCTTCTGTCAGTCAGAGTGAGTCTCAGCGGACCGTTCATGGACTCTCGTTCATACTGAACACAACAATGGTTAAGCTCAGAGAAACGGCCAGCGCTGGCTTTAACTGCAAAAACTTTTAGCAGATAAACACATTTAGAGTTTACAGGCTTTCTTTTTGTAGAAAACCATCATGATATTGATGACATCATCTTGTTCGCATGATTTTCCCTTTCGAGAAAAAGCGGTTGAATCCAAAATACTGGATATTTTTTAAAAGAATAAAAAAAAAAAATTCCAATATATTAAAAAGGCTGTCAGACAGACAGGTACAATGATGTAATGCATTCAAATATCTACATAGATAATTAGCTATATAATATACATTTGAAATTTATATAAAAAAAATTCTTAACAAAATGGAATATTCTGTATGTATTTTGTATTTATATTAAAATAAATAAAAAAATAAATAAAATGGCAAAGAATTGCATAGTGTGTGTTTATATATATTTTTAATTATTATGATTTCTTACAATTATTTAATTATTATATTTTATAAATTGTATGTGTGTGTGTATGTATGTGTATCCAAAATACTTTTTTTTTAAGTTAAAATAAAAAAATAGAAAAAAATAGAAAATAGGTTTTGCCTGTGGTTTTGGCTTTGTAGAATAAAAATGTAATACAAACACACACACACACACACACACACACACACACTTTAAAATTAAATCATTTTACATGCCAGTCAGACAGCCTTGGCATTTGTGGGCATTTGTTGAAAAAAAAAAAAAAAAAACCCTTGGACTAATGGAACATTTTATTTTTTCTCAGAATAAGCCACACTGCGAAGCTCAGCTTAATGCTGATAGGCAAAAATTCTAGCTTCACAAGACCAGAATAAAAAGCCGACGAGACTAGAATGAGCCGAGAGAAGCAGTGAGATGGAAATGGGATGTTAGTGCCAGAAGAACAAATACAAATTGATTCTTCATGTCATAAGAGTGATTCTGCATGAAGAAATGAGTAGATTTCAATATGCCCAACTATAAAACAGTCTTCAAAAGTCAATATGGTTTGTGTTTACATCATCATCCCTTGTCGTTTTGACATTCAGCTCCTTTTAAAGCAACTGACTGTGTCACGACCTCTGTGTAACGGTCGATTATAGCTCCAGTCCACGGCAGTGGCGAAACCCGATCCAATCTGTGCCACAGCCACCTGCCAGCAAAATACTCCCTCCATACTTCAGCACAGATCCAATTATCAGATTGGCTCCCAGCACAGAAAGAGCTGACCACACATTTATCTGAAACGCCTAATGGCCTCCAATGAAATGTTTAATTCAAACAGCAGCTTTATTGGATGGTACCTTTCCACATTATCCAGGTTCCCGGCCACTCCGAGTCCTCCGATGGTGTAAAGCTTGCCGTCGTACACCACGCTGTTGTGCCGGCACCGCGGGACTGTCATCCGAGACACCAGATTCCAATTATCCAGCAGAGACATGTAGCACCACACGTCTGCCAGCGTGACTCCAGACTCAATGCCTCCTAAAGAGGGTACAAGCCCAAACAAATGAGTGCTGAAGTCTCCATTTACACCCTCCAACATCACACCTCCATTAATACACAGCTGATGAAAAGACAAAAACACATACGTAAAAAAACAACACAAACATCTCCCTCGCTCTCAGGGATTCAGCGTTAGCTGCTTCCAGAAAAGTGTTTTAGTGTCCATGTTAGTTTCGTTTTGAGAGACAGACAGATATTTATAAATAAAAGTCTAACAATATTTTTATAAATCTAATTATATAATAGATCTCTAAATCTAATATTTTTTATAAATAAATATTTATATTATATAAACAAATCAATGCAACCTTATATAATGTTTTTTATTTAAATAAATATTTATTATTATTAAATGTTTAATTATATACATATTTAATTGTACACATGTATATATTTATTTCTATTTCTATATTATGTCTATGTATATATATACATATATACATATACATACACACATACACACAATATAACTTTTAAATTTTTACATTTATATTTATTATGTATTCAATTGTTTTATAAAAAGATAATTTCTTTTTATAAATATAAACCAATACAATTTAACACTATTTTTTATTTCCATTTTCAATTTTATTTTGTTTCATATATGTGTATATATATATACACACACACACACACACACACACATTTTTTCATAAAATGTATATAATATAAATAAATCTTTAATACAACTCTTTATATATTTTTCTCTGTATTAAGGTTTACATTTTCTGTGGTGTGACCAGCTAAAAACGTAATGTAAAAAACAAAAAGATTTTAAACAGTATTTTGCTAATGCTTTTAAAGTTATACATGTGGATTTTGTGAGCCCTATTAATTGAAAGAATGCATTGAATATTTGTCACACACCAGTATCATTCAAAATAAATTACAGAAGGAAAATGTAATTAAAAACATGTCCATGATGTCTCATATTCCGTTTTCACAACCAAACTGCCATTACAGCTTAAAAAGCGTCATCTTTCAGCACTATTGATTTTATCCTACTTGATCTGTGGGATATTTAACATCAGAATTTGACACACAGCCAGTGCTAAAGACAGAGATGAGGATGCTGTCTTCCCATCATCCCTCAGAGCGTGATCTGCTACATATAAAAGCAGACACCTGCGGGCGGCCACCAAACTGCAAGTGACACACTGTCGGTCTGATTACCTGACAGGTAGATATTATCCCCCGCTGATATGACGGAGAAGAACTCGCGGTTGTAGAAAGGCAGGCTGGCCAGGGGGTACCACTTGTTGTTTTGAGGGTTGAAGCAAGTGACGGCTGTCAGCGAGCGCTGGTTCATACCGATGACCTGCCGCCCACCCACCAGCACGATCACCTCAGCGACACCTGCAGAGACAAACACCGTGCAACACATCAGACCTGTCTGGACCAGATTCCACTGCGAGCTGGTCTGCTACTGGTGCAAGCTGCTTATTGTGATGGTTCTGATGGGTGACCAGGCAAAACCAGCTCATACTCTCATGCTTTTTACTCTACTGGACAAAAGTTTGGAATAATTATGATTTTGATTGTTTTTGAAAGAAGTCTCTCATGCTCAACAAAGCTGCATTCATTTGATAAAAATATAGTGAAAACAGAAACATTGTGAAATATTATAACTGTTTTCTATTTTAATATATGAAAAACAATAAAAAAAAAAACTTACTTGAAATGAAACACATTTTAACTGAAATAAAAATTCTAATTTTCATTTAGTTTAACTTAATGTACTAAATAATTCTATTCTATTCAAACAATTCTATTCTATAATGATTATTCCTCAATTTTTTCTACAATTCTATAATGATTTTCTGCTCAGTTATTAATTATTATTGTTGCTCAATTATTAATAATTGTTCTTATTTTTAACAATTTTTACTGCTTAATATTTTTGAGAAAGCTGTAATATTTGTTTTCAGGATTGTAGAAAGTTTGAAGTAGAAATCTTTTGTAACATTATAAATGTGCTTACTGTCACGTTTGATCAATTCAATGCATACTTAAACTAAAGTATACATTTTTTTCTTTTTCTTTCTCTCTCTCTTTTTTAAAAAAAATCTTACTTACTGTTCCCTAAACCTTCAAATGGTCGTGCATCAGTTTCCACAAAAATATGAAGCAGCACAACTGTTTTCAATATTGACAATAATCAGAAATGTTTCTTGAGCAGCAAATCAGCATATTATACTGATTTCTGAAGATCATGTGACACTGAAGACTGGAGGAATGATGCTGAAAATACAGCTGTGCATCACAGGAATAAATCACATTTTACTATATATTTCAATAGAAAACAGTTCTTTTAAATTGTTATAATATTTCACAATATTACTGATTTTACTGTATTTTTGATCAAATAAACGCACCTTTGGTGAGCAGAAGTGACTCAAAAACATTGAAATATCTTAATTCCAAACTTTTGACTGGTAGTGTACAGTGTATGCAAGGGTTTATAAGTGCATGTGATGAATAACTGGAGCTTAATATGCAACAACCAAACAAAACATTTACTGGAACAGTTTTTTTCAGAGCAAAATTATCTACAAACAGAAGCCGTTTTCTGATCAATTATGAATGTGTTTCCTCTCTATACAACACATGAAGTCTCCATGCTGACTGCTTATGCCACATCATAGGCTTTTCATTCTGTAATTCATTTTATTCTGGCACAGAAAAAAAGAAAAGGGAGAAAGGAATATCACAAAGAGGTAGCGAGAAAACATTTCATATGAAAAAGGGATATAACAAGGAAAAAATAATAGCCTCCGAGTGAAAAACATGACAATTTTGGGGAGATAACAAATGTCCCCTTCTAAAAATGAGGCGTAACTCAACAGAGCGCCAGAAAAGATCCAGAGCGCTATCAGCAAAGTTTGCCAAAAATCTGACAAAAATATACGAGTATCTTAAATTTCTATTTAAGGAAAAGTACAGATTCGCTGGCATGAAAAAGGCTTCAGGCTCCGTTATTCTGAACTAGCTGAAAGTACCCAACACGATCTTATCATCTGAATTAAAATTCATGACATACATCATCTTGAAAAAAAGAATAAATAAAAGAAACAGTGGATCGGGGCAGAAAGGGTCAGGCCTCTGTAACAGCAGAAAATTAAATGTCATTGTTAGCATCTTAAAAACGATTAAAAAAAAAGATAAATAATCTTGACTTTGATTTCAAGGGCTTCTGAAATACAAAAATGAATTATCTCAGGGGACATTTATTGTCTCTGCGTAATTCTTTTCAATACAGTGATTCAATAAAATGAGCAAAGACTCATAGCACATACTGCATAAATCTCTCTGGGAAGATTCAGCAATAATGAATTGCAGCTGCTGATAATGCTGCTTATTTCGGTTTTAGTAGCCGATTCCCTAAAGAAATTATGTACATATAATATACACACAAACAAAAAAACTACTGAATGCAATCTGAATGCATGCTCAATGCACATAAATAAAATAAAAAAAAAGATGTTTGCATAATTCAGATATTTTGTATAACTGATAGATATATTTATATATAATTTTATAATTTATTTGCTACATATTTTTGTATGGAATTTAAATGCATATAAAAATAAAAAGTAAAAAAAAGAGATGTTTGTACAGGTATTTTGTATAAAGACGATATTATAAAATAATAATACACATACACACATTCATTTTTATGACAAAATACAAATACAAAATGCACGAGCTGCAGTAAATGCACGGTTGCTGAAGCACACGCTAAAGTGACGCAACCGGCGGCGTGATATTCCTGCTCAAGCTCGGGTTCACAGCCGTTTCCAGAGAAGAAAAAAAAAAAGCATTTGATTGGCACGAACATCTGCTCGCGTGGCAGCTCTTTCAGCCGCACAACTGCAGGTTGTGTTCCCACTTCACACCAGTACATCTTCCTGTTATGAGAAACCCCCTTCCCACAAACCCTCACTACATTACAGCAGCAGCATCAATCAAACAGCACACGCCAGCCATCAACCGCATCACAGCGTCCTCCGCCAGGTAAGAGTTAAGTAAAATTATGACTGTAAGCAGAGTGCTGAGAGAAATTATATGAAAGCATGTATGAGTGAATGAATTCTATAAATACATAAGGAGGAACCAACTGTCTTCAGAAAAGTTTCAATGACATTTGCTTTTCATCTTCCCTCCTTGTAAGTAAGGAATAATTGATGACGAGCCGTTGAATTATCAGATAATAATGCACACCCGAGGTGCTGATGCGGCCTCGATGCGAAGTGGAGTGTGTGTGCGTTTGTAAGGGAGAGAGAGAGAGAGAGAGAGAGAGAGAGAGAGGGAGAAAATTAGTATGTGCTTTCAGTACATAAAACGTCATTTTGTGGCAAAAACATGGAAATAATTTGTTGTTTTTAGCTTGTTGTTTACTATATTTATTAGCTTGGTCAGTGTCGTCGTGGGTTTTGGTTCTTTTGCTGTTGTAGGCTATAAGGACCTTTGCAATCACTGAAATCATTTGGTGAAGTGATACTGTATGGACATGTAATGCGGTCAAGACCTGCCTGGAACTACTTTAGCTGTGCGTTTCCCTGAAAATAACTGCACACCTTAGAACGTTCATCAACCAATCAGATTCAAGCATTCAACAGCACCATAGTATAACGCCTAATAAAGTAGTGTTTATAAATGCAGCGCTACTTTGTTTACGGAGTTATTTCTACTATTTCTACAGTTCGATAAGTGCCACCTACTGGCACACATTGGATTTACGTTTTCATTCAGTTTGTCTGCCAATTTTGTGCAGACCAATGTGAAAATTGGAACAAATTTTTGTTGCAAATCTTATCTGGTAAAACAAGCTCAACACTTCAGATAATAAGGTATCCTATGTCAAATTTAATGGAGCAGATAAAATGCCTGTAATGTATAATTTGACTCATCCTTTACTTCAAAAGTGGAAATGTGAGGTTTATCTTTTTTTTACATGTAGTATATGTTAGCAGATAACAGGTTATGTTTTAAGTCACCCAACCAATATTTTTTGTTTGTTTAAAATCCATTTTTCATATTATTATTTTAATGTTTATGCAAATTATTTTAATGTTTACCCAACACCTAAACGTAACTACAACAACAACTACTGTACTGCACTTATTATCAATAAACAGCAAATTTGGAGTTTATTGAGGGAAAACTCAATAATATCTGTTCCCTAATCTAAAGTGTTACCAAACGTTTCACAGTTTCTCATCTCTAGGAGAGCATGCCTCTCATCTCGTGTTAATCCAGCGTGGCTGGGATCGGGGTCCGGGGTCCATGCCCTTCCGCCAGCCTCATGATCTCCCGCAGAGCGAGGGCCCCCGCTGCGCTCGCCTCCTTCCTGCTGACTGTGGCATTAGAGACTCAAGCAGCAGGTGGTCCGGCGCTGATCACCCCACCTCTGACCACTCCAGATCACAGCAATGGATTATGAAAATAATGAAAATAATTCAAGGAGCTTTCTGGATTTAGATTTAGAAACAAATAAATAAAACCTGTCTCGTTCCACTGGGATGGGACTTGGTATGTAACTACCTGTAAAGTGCTGCTTACATGAATGAAACTCCATCTACCTACAAAAGCAAGTTCTCTTAATGTTAAGTGCTTCATATTTTTCATGTAAAAAAAATGTGCCTTAAAACTCGCTGCATAGGTTACAGTAATTCAAAATGGCCAAAAAATGCAAAAGGTCAAAAGGTGCCGTGTTTGAAACATTTGCAGTTTTTGTAATTTTTCAGTAGCTTGTTTGCTTCTTTCACACATTTTTTGCATTTGAAAATACTTTGTTGTATCCCAACCTACATAATAAGCACAGCATTCAACATGTTTGGACTTACCGGGAGGTGTAAACACTAACGCTTTCAAAAAGAACAGCCCTATTCAAAAGCATCAACAAAAGATGGATCAAAAAAGATTTCTGTTTCTCAGCTCTTTATATAATAATGCATATAGAGAATCCGCGGTCGGTGGTGAACTGGGTCATTGGGTGGGATAATCTCTACACAGCTTGTCTTAAGTACACACAGGTGAAATTTACCCACTGGCTAAAGCTCAGTAATAAGAGGCGCAGGTGCGCTGACGCACGCTTTGGCAGCTCTCTGACAGCGCTGTGGCTCTATTCCAGTCGCTCCGCTCACCAGCGCCCTGTCACACCACATCAGGACGGATTTCTATCCAGCATGCTGCTGCTTCTAAATCTGTGCACTGCATTATTATAAAACAGTCCTGGTTGCTGATTGGTCAACACATGCTAAAATACATTATATATCATGCAAAATGAGCTAGAGTACTGTGTATCACTGCACAGCACACATAAATACCAACTACTAACCTGACTGTACAAGTCAGGACCACATCTAGCGAAATCTGCTCAATTAAAT